AGAGAGAGAGAGAGAGAGAGAGAGAGAGAGAGAGAGAGAGAAAATATTAAAAGTAAAATCATTAATCTGAATTTTGGATATGATTTTAGTGTGTGTTTGGTCTTTTCGATTTTTATCAGATCAAGGTTGGTGTTAGTCGGTGTAAGTTTTTTCTGAACAAAGAATATTCTGTATTTGTTCGGTTTTTATCTATGAATCAAGAAAACAAAAAATTCAATCAGTGCAAAATCAAGACAACAAAATAAGTTCAACAACCGATAAACTGTTTTACTGTTCGGTGAAACAAACTTCCTAGTCCCCAAACAACAACAAAATCGATCGATCAATCAATCAATAAAATACAATTCGAATGATAATATTTTTGCTTTGATTTTTTTCCCAAATGTTATTTAGTCGTGATTTTTGTCAACAAAAATCCTGTTTCCTTCAAACAACATTTTCAGCTTGTTCTTTTCATTTCACCTGGATTCATCATTATATTCTGATTCAGCAACAAGAATTAATTCAACATGGTTGACGGTGGTGTTGGTAAAGGCATTAAATTTGCCATGTTTGCAGCCAATGGTGTTATTTTTGTAAGTTTTTTTTTCTGTAAAATTTTTTCTTTGAAAACTTTTTCTTTTTTCTTCTGTAAACTTTCTTTTTTCCGGAAAACATATACAATAGGTCGGTGGTTTAGTTGTATTTTCAATCGGTGTTTGGACATTAGCCGATCGTTCATTTATGGAACGTTTATTAGGATCGAATCTTTATATAACATCAGCATCATTGTTAATTGCAGCCGGTGTTATTGTATCATTTATTTCGTTTTTAGGTTCATTGGGTGCATACAAAGAAATACGTTTTATGTTATTAGTATTTTTTGTATTATTATTTTTAATATTCATACTGATGTTATTGGGAGGTATATTGGGCTATGTTTTTCGTAATCAAGTTGATGATCGTATGAAACGTGAAATGCAAATTACAATCAGTAATTATGGTAATGATTCGGCTATTACTGATGTAAGTTTGTTTTGTCTCAATTTTGTGTGTTTTTAATCGAAATTTGTTTTTCTTCTTTCTTTTTAGGCCTGGGATTCTGTTCAACGAAATGTAAGTTTGCTTTTTTTCCATTTGCAGGAATGATTTTTGTTAATTTGAATGAAAAAATTTTCGCTTTTTTTTCTCGAAATTCTTCTTCACAGTTTCATTGTTGTGGTATTGAATTAGGTGGTAATCCTGGTTATACTATTTATCGTTTAAATAATCCAGTATTTGGATCAAATAGTCGTAGACGAGTACCACGTACTTGTTGTTTAAATTTACGTGATGAATCATCAGTTGAACAATGTATGATGGAACCGGAAAAACGTGAACATACTTATCATGATGTAAGTTTAATTTCTAATTCAAAAGTCAAAAATGTTAATCCTTAAAATCAAAACAAAAAATATTACAGGATTGTTATGTTAAAATGAAAAATTTTGTCAAAGGACATGCTATGTTAGTTGGTGGTATTGGTATCGGTATTGCCTGTATTTTAATCATTGGTATGGTACTTTCAATGGCATTATTCTGTATGATCGAATAAAATCATTAATCTCAGCATTCATAAATGGACAATCTTTTAACCTATATATCTACTTATCAACATCATCATCCAATAATGTAGACAAACAGAAACACATACATTATACATAGACAGAGAAAACCAAAAAAAAAACTTTGAATCATCATTTGAAAACAACACAAAAAAATCTATCATTTCTGTACAGCCAATCAATCAATTTAGCCTATATGGCTCAAAATTTTACACAAACACAAAAACACACAGATAATTTTTTTCAATAATGGACTGCCCTTTTTTTCTTCTTCATTATCAATGAATTCCATTACAACCATCAATTGATTCAATCATCATAATCATCATTTGGCCAAAAAAAAGAGAAGAAGTTATCATCCAAAAGATGATGTCGTTGACAATTTCAATTGGATGCAACAAACTTTAGATTTGAATATCCATCATCATTGATCATCATCCGATGTTAGAAAATCTCTATCGATATAAAGATAGAGATTCAGGAATCTATTGTTAATTATCATTTTAAAATCATTTCATTTCATTTAAAAAACATTAAAATAAAAAACAAAACAAAAAAGTTTTTCCGGATTTTCGAATCATTTTCATTCAATTTCGAACACACATATGCGCTATACGTACTCTACGAACGGCATTACAAATTTTGACGATGCAAGCAAAAAAAAAAAAAAAAAAATGAGCACAGACAAAACAGACATCATCATCATCATCAGACGAGAAAAGAAAAAAAAAAAGGTAAAATCGTCATCATCTCAATCAACGAACGAAGTAAAAGAAAATCTTAAACAATTTTTTTACCTTCATCATCATCGCCATTCGCAAAGACCTAGATATCGATTAAATATTTGTTTGTTTGTTTATATGCGGAAAAAAAAATTTTTTTGATCGAAATTCTGATAAAAATTAACAAAAAAAAAATTCATACCGCTTTCACACTTGCAGAAAGTTCTTCAAATAAACAACTTTGTGTTCTAATTATCATCATTTCTTGGCTCGTTCATTTCGTTGGTTTGTTCTTGTTATCATCATCAACAGATCGGATATGATATCATGTTTACATCAACATAAACGACGACCGCAACTAAATCTTATTTCAACATAAAAATCGATAATTTGAATCCCTCCTCATCATCCAATCAATCAATCAATCGATTAGCTGTTGGTTTTTTTTCTTCATTTGTTTTTGTTTGGTTGGTTATTACGCATCATCGTTGAATCAATTTCTGTTTCGTTGTTGTTTTTCAAAAAATTAAGAAAAAAAATTTCGAAATTTCCATTTTCCTTTCGTTGTATGGTTAATGATCTTATTTTCATTTGAAACAAACGAAAAAAAAACATGATGGATCAACATCAAGATATGATTGAAGATCTGGTATGTTTGTTTTCGATTTTTTTTCCATTTTTCAATGAATAATTCTCATGTTTTTTTTACTTTCTCCATTTAGGAAGTTGCATTGAATGAAAAAATAATGATAACCGATCTAAAAGATATGAATGGTAGTAGTGATACAAACGGTGGTAATATGAATAATAATAATGATTATAGTACATCATTCGATCCAATGCAATTATTTAATAATGATGAAAAATATCAACGATTTTTTAAAACATTTGGTTCATGGTCAGAATCATTACAGGATTCATTCGTTCAACAATTATTATCACATATGTCACATTATCAACATTCAAGAATTAATACATTTTTACGACCAATGTTACAACGTGATTTTATTTCATTACTTCCAAGTAAGTTGATTTTTGGGTTTTTGATTCATTTTTTTGATTTTTTGTGTTTTAGAAAAAGGATTAGATCATATAGCTGAAAGTATTTTAACATATTTGGATGAAAAATCATTATGTGCAGCTGAATTAGTTTGTAAAGAATGGCATCGTGTTATATCGGAAGGAATGTTATGGAAAAAATTAATCGAATCAAGAGTTAATACTGATTCATTATGGCGTGGTCTTGCACATCGTCGTGGTTGGTATGTTTTGTTTTTTGTTTTTTTTTGGGAAAAATTCAAATTTTTCAATATTTTTAAATTTATTTCAAAATCAAGGATACGTTATCTTTATAAACCACCACCAAATGAATCACATCCGGATCATATGTTTTATCGACGTTTATTTCCAACAATTATAATGGATATACGTTGTACGGAAAATAATTGGCGTTCAGGAAAACATACCTTGAATCGTATTAATTGTCGTAGTGAAGGTAGTAAAGGTGTTTATTGTTTACAATATGATGATCAAAAAATTATCAGTGGTCTACGTGATAATACAATTAAAATATGGGATCGTAAAGATTTGGCCTGTTCAAATGTAAGTTGAACAAAATTGAAATTTAGTTTTTTTTTGGAGATTTTATAAAACTTTTTGGTTTTCTAAAGGTTTTAACTGGACATACTGGATCGGTTCTTTGTTTACAATATGATGATCATGTTATAATAAGCGGTTCAAGTGATGCAACTGTACGTGTTTGGGAAATAAAAACCGGACAAATGATTAAAACATTAATACATCATTGTGAAGCTGTATTACATTTACGTTTTAATAATGGTATGATGGTTACATGTTCAAAAGATCGTTCGATTGCTGTTTGGGATATGACATCACCAACGGAAATAAATTTACGACGTGTATTAGTTGGTCATCGTGCTGCTGTAAATGTTGTTGATTTTGATGAAAAATATATTGTTTCAGCATCCGGTGATCGTACAATTAAAGTATGGAAAACATCTGATTGTGAATTTGTTCGGACATTGAATGGACATAAACGTGGCATTGCTTGTCTACAATATCGTGATCGTTTAGTTGTCAGTGGTAGTTCGGATAATACAATTAGGTATGTATTGTGTTTGTTTTATTGAATGGTAATTATTAATTCGGGTTCTGAATACAGAGTTTGGGATATTGAATTTGGCAATTGTTTACGTGTATTGGAAGGTCATGATGAATTGGTTCGTTGTATACGATTTGATAATAAACGAATTGTTAGCGGTGCTTATGATGGGTATGTTTTGGATTTTTGGATTGTGTTTTGATTGATTTGATTTGATTTTTGATTTTTTGCTTTTTTGCTTTTTTTTAGTAAAATAAAAGTATGGGATTTAGCTGCAGCATTGGATCCACGATCACCATCCGGTACATTATGTTTACGTACATTAGTCGAACATACTGGCCGTGTATTTCGTTTACAATTTGATGATTTTCAAATTGTTAGCAGTTCACATGATGATACAATTTTAATTTGGGATTTTCTTACACCTGATACAAATAATGAATCAATTAATCATCAACAACAACAACAGCAACAACAACAACATTGTGCTATAATAACAAAAGATGGTAGATGACTATCATAACTTTATTCAGGAATTTGGATTTTTGAAAAAGAATGGTACGTTTTTCTGACTTGGAAAAAAAATCGCATACACACACATACCCCGTAGCCATGAAATGATTCATAGATTCAATCTTTGATTAGATAATGATTGTTTAACTGTAAAATTCATTCCGTTTTTTTTGTTTTGTTTCACACAAACATTTATCCCACCCGAACTACCATCGCATGTGTGTGTGTTATCATAAATTCAGAAAAGAATTCCGAATTTCAACAATAACAACAACAACAAAAATTTCTACCCTTATCAACAAACATTGAATACCGTTTTTTTTAACATAAAACATCATTATTGATAGATAGATTATATTTCTTTCATTGTTATTTTAATAATAGTTATCGAATATATCTTTAACGAAATGCTCATTTCGAATTGAAATTTTCTTCATTTTTTTTGTTAGTATTAATTATCAAAACAAACAAACAGAAAATTTTATCCATTTCTTTTCTTATTATAACCATTATTATAATTACGATAAATGACATAACATACACTTACACACTTACCCATTCTTAATCTATGTATTTTTTTTTCTATATATGTGTACAAACAAAACGACGATTGAAAAAACATTTCAGCAAATAATAGAGAGAGAGAGCCATAGAGGAAAAAGCAAAAGTCATCATCATCTGATCATCGCATCCATCATCATCAACCATCAAATCAAATCAAATCGCATGCTTTTTTTTTCTTTTCACACAATATTGTGATAATCACGAAAAAATAACAAAAAACAAAACAAAAAACCAATTTACTTTACTTTACTTTCATTTTATTTCATTTCACAATTTAATTTCTTCATTTAATTTCATCTTTTTCTTCTTTCTTTCTTTTTCTTTTTCTTTTTTCTTCAAATTTTATCTCCTCTTAAATTGATAAACATTTCAATAAAATATGATTCGAAAAAAATTTACCGTTATTTTCAGTGTTTAATATTCTGATCAATAGATGGCAGTCTGTTTTGATCGAAACATTAATGACAATTGAATTAGCTTGATTTTTACAGTTATTGTTTGTTTGTTGTTTGGTCACATTTTTCTCTTTTTTTCTCCAAATTTTGTTGACATCATGGCCAATTTACATTATCGAAGATCGGCAAAATTATTATCCAACGATATTTCAGATGATTATGATGATGATGATTATGATGCGAATGATAACGATGATGAACGTCAAAATTTGATTGATAAAACAGAACAGGTTTGATTGATTGATTGATTGTCAATATTGGATTAATCGATTAATTGGTAATTTTGTTTGTTAACAACAACAGTATTCCGTTGACAATGAAAAATATGAAAAATCCAATCGATTCAATGATCATATACCATGGAAAGGTATTCTATTGGCATTTACGCTTACATTGATTGGCATTATTATTGTTATTGTTTTTATTTGTTCACAAATGGGTTGGATTGCATTCCGTCCGGATGATAATTTTACATTTTTAACATTGGCTTTTATAACATTAGTACCGGGTCTTTATCATTCCATAATTGCATTTCGTGCATATCGTGGTTATGATGGTTATAGTTTTGATGATATTGCCGATCTAAATTGATCTTTTGTAACATTTTTTTTGTAATTTTAATGATATGTCATAGCAAAAAACAAATGAGAAAATTTAAAAAATAAAAATAATAACAAACAACGAAATTATAATTTAAACAGAAATTAAATTTGAAAACAAATTAAAAAATTAATTATGTCTAAATAGTGGGGTTAAATATGGCGGCTTTGGAAGAATTATCTGAATGAGTGAGTTTTTTGTTTTGATTTAGAAAAAAACTTTGGTAACATGACCAATAGCTTTGGCTCGTTCAAATTGCAGCAACAAACGATAACCATTACGAATATATTCTGGACGACGAATAAATCGAATGATAACTGTAGCCGATTCATCAGCATAAATTTGTTCTTTATGTTTAATTGCCAATATTATACCAGATTGGCGAACATTTTCAATATAAACAATTGCTGATGATCCTAATGTTATTACAGCCGATGAATATGATAATGAATATATTTGTGCTTGAAAATATTGACAAATTGAATTCGGATCAACATTGCTCAACAATACCATTCCTTTACGAATGATTTTCGATAATATTATTGTTGAATTATTAGTGTTTTTTGTTGCCGTTGAATCGGTTACATTGTCATCATTCATTGTTATTGTAGAATTTTTAAATAAATTCAATGCTAATGTTGAACTTTCACCCGGTCGAACAATACGACGATTAACTTTATGTCGTTGTACACTGGTAACGAATACATCAACAAAATGACCATCATCTAATGGACCAACTTTTAGTACAGAACCTTCTTCAATTAGGCCCGAACGAAGAAAACCACTTGCAACAACACCCAGATTTGGTATATTGAATGTTTGATCAATCTGAACAGAAGAAAAAAAATGAGAAAAATGAGAAAAATCAAAAATGTCAACTGAGTAAAGTAAAGTAAAACAAAAAACTCACCTGAAAAGTACAATTTTGTTTGATTAATTTATCACGATCAATTGAATCTAATGATGGTTCCAGCAAATGTAAAAATTTATATAATAATTCCAAACCATTACCATTAACACATGAGATCAGAAAAATAGGCACCAAATTTTTTAATTTATTATTATTATTATTACAATAATCTATAATATCATTATTATTCTTGATTGTAATGGATTTTTTATTCTTACAAAATGATGATTCAATTAATTGTTGAACATTGTTGACAATTTGATCAATCATTTTTTGATCACAAAGATCAATTTTATTTATAACAACCATTATAGGAACTTCAAGTGCTATGGCTAAACTCAGATGTAAAAGATTTGTACCACAATCTAATGGACTTAATGCATCAATCACAAGTATAGCATAATCAGCATGTGTAGCTGTTAAACTGAAAACGGTTGTTTTCAAATATTTTCGATGACCACCCGAATCAATAAATACAATAATTTTTGATGATAATTGACAAATTTCTTCCGATGTTTGATAATCACAATATTTGATCGGTCGACCACGATTATCAAAACCAAGAATTTCTTTATTAATACTTGATGTACGACCAGAACGAATTTCATGTCGATGACGAAATAGATTTAATCTTGCACGACCTTTTCCATTATCAAGTTCACCTTGTGTTAATACACCTAATAAAGAACTTTTCCCAGTTTCAACATTACCTAAAACTGAAATTCGTATTTCAGCTGCTTGTCGATCGTTTGGTATTTTTTTCACTAAAACTTCTAATGCTTTTCTTGGATTATTATCATTTCTAGTTGATTCAATTAATTTTTCCTGTGTTATCGATACGGATGCATTGATTTTATTGGCCATTAAATTTAATGTTTGTAATGATGATGATATTTCATCATCGGTTAATCCTTTTAGACCACCATTATCTTCAACACCAATTTCATAGATGGCTTCTCCATCACCTGAATTTTTTTGAATTGAAAAAAACAATGTTAGCTTTGAAATCGAATCAAATCGAATGAAAGAATTACCTTCTTCAAGACGCCATTTCATCTGCGTAATAAGATGTTCTAAACGATTTGGTGATGGATTAATTAATTTAAGTTTATATTCAACATTTCCTTGTTCTTGTTCGGGTGGTAGAATTGTATCATTATCAATAGGTAAAAGATTATGATGTGATTTTGATGTTGAAATTGTTGATGTTCGTCTAATATGTCGATGTGAATTTTGTCTTCGATTTTGAAATGATTTTTGATGATGATGATGATGATTATGTTGATGAAAATGAAGATCATTTTGACCATTATCATCATCATTATCATCACCATAATCGAATATAGTTGATAATGATGGATTCATTATTGGTGTTTTTTGGTGATTTGTTTTTCTAAAATGGTTTTATGTCATTGAATGAATGATTGTTTCGTCGTTCGCTGTCGAATAACCGCCAAATTTGAATGTCAATTTCAGTGGGTCGTTTGGTGGGATTATTATTTTGTTTTTGTTCGCCAAAACCAAAAAAACAAAAACAAAACAAAACAAACAATAAACGAGATCAGATGTTTGGCAACAAACAAACAAACAACGAGAGAAACTAATTAGTTGAGAATCGTCGTAATAAATAAAAAAAGCGCGCAGTCAACTGAATAAAATCCGTGAAAAAATATCCAAAAGATGTTTATCAGGGAGAAAAAAATACAGCTCATCAGCTGTATCAGGACAAATATACTGCAGTATGCACAACATAGCAACAAAGAGAGTCAAAGTCAGCCGATTTTATTTAAAAAAAAAAAAAAAAACAGAAAAGAGAAAGGGATTACGTTGCCAAAACGTTTACAGTTTCTCGCTTTGTTTTTTTTTGTTGTTTTTTGGAGAAAAAA